CAACCACCTGGACACCCTGAACTGATAGCACAGGAAGTAACAAAACAGATGAATGAGGCTCTAGAAAAATTCAAAGCAGAAATAATTTCCCAGATAACTACAGAGATGTTGAGCAGAGTGAAAGACATGATTAGAGGCTCTAGAACAGAAACAGATAAAAAATTTGATGAGCTCAGAAACATGCTGGAAGCCATGAATGCCCAGCATAAGAAAGAAATGGAAAACATGATCGCCCAACATAAGAAAGAAATGGAATCCATGAAACAGATTCAAACAGATATCCAGGAGATTAAAAACTCCACTGAAAGCATACAGAGCAGATTAAGGGTATCTGAAGATAGAATATATGATATAGACGACAGGATTGCAGTTAAGGACCATGAAAACAGAGATCTCTTCAAAATAGTAAGGAACCACAAGAAATCAATCCAGCAGCTGCTAGATGATGCAAAGAAGAATAACATAAGACTGATAGGAGTCCACGAAAAAACAGGATTAAGTACAATTGACATAAAAAAACTGTTCACAGAAGTAATAGTAGGAAACATCCCAGACAGAGGTACAGAATTGGACGTTCAGATAAGTGAGGCATATAGAACTCCAACTAGCCACAATCAAAAAAAATCTACACCTAGACATATAATAGTCAAGATCCCAGAAACCTAACAGAAGTACAAAATACTACAAGCAGTTAGAGAAAAGAAACAAATTGCCTACAAAGGAAAGCCCATCAGAATCACAGCAGACTTCTCAACACAAATCCTCAAGTCAAGGAAAGCCTGGAGTGAGGTATTTCAAGCCATAACAGAAAATAACTTCTAACTTAGACTGCTGTATCGTGCAAAATTATCTTTCGAAATTAGATACTTCCAAGACAAAGAACACCTGAGAAATTTCATGAACACCAAACCAGCACTCCAAACGATTCTAAGAAATATCCTAGATAAAGACAATGATGGTCACAACTCCATGAGGCCCAACAGAGGGAAACCACCAGGCAAGGTAAGAAACTAAAGGGAAAGGGGGGAAAAATAAGAGATAAAAGACCCAACAACAGTAAAACATCATGACAAGGATGAGTCAATATCTATCAATTATAACCATCAATGTTAATGGCCTAAATTCACTAATCAAAAGAAATAGACACAGAAGTGAGGGGAAGTATTTTGGAAAAAAAAAAAAGAAAAGAAATAGACTGACAGAATGGATTAAGAAGCAAAATCCAACAATATGCTGTATACAAGAAACACACCTAACTCAAAAAGAAATTCATAGACTGAAAGTAAAAGGATGGAAAACAGTTCTCCATGAGACAGGAACCCGGA